ACGATGTGGTCGCGGACATAGTCTGCCACGACTTTCTTAGTCACTGCTCTGTAAGATGCTGCTTCGACCCATTTGGTGAAATAGTCTATGGCTACCAGGATAAACCTGTGTCTGTTGGAAGCAGCAGACTTAATTGGTCCAATTACATCCATCCCCCAAGCGAGGAAATGGCCACGGTGAGCTTGCTGTGTTGAGCTCACTCGGAGGTACCTTTATCATGTCTGCATGTATCTAACAGCGGTGGCATTTTTGGACATACTGGATGCAGTCTGTTTCCATAGTCATCCAAAAGTAACCATCCCAGAGTATCTTCTTTGCTAAGATAAAACCATTCATATGTGGACCGCAGGTCCCATCATGAATTTCCTCTAGCAGCTTGGATGCTTCCTTTGCGTTGACACATCTTAATAATCCCAAATCAAGAGTCCTTCTATACAGAATTCCTCCGCTGTAAAAGAAGTTGTTGGACAATCTCCGAAGTGTGCGTTCGGAGTAGGATTTGCAATCTCTGGGTACTCTCCTTTTGCCAAATATTCCTTGATATCATAAAACCAAGGCTTTCCGTCTGCTTCTTCTTCAACATGGGCACAGTAAGCTGGATGATTATGGATTTTACATCTTGGTCTTGGATTTGAACGGTGGATATCAGATTTGGTGGGTGGTAGCATCTGATTTCGAGCCTCGAATAGCAGCTTCGTTTTGTGGATTATACTCTTTCTTCAATTGATTAGTTGTTGCTCTTATTGCTATTGTTGCTCCGTGTTTGGCACTTGTTGTGTAGCCAATTTGGAGTACTTTTGTAACCCTCTTATTGTTATAGTGGAGCTTTTTGGATCTTTGTGATCCCGTGATTTTTACCTTCGATTTGAAGAATTTTTCACGTTAAAATTTGGTGTTCTTTATCTTCTTTATTTTCGGGTTTGCCTCTTCCTGTTCATTAACACTTTCGCTGCATGAACTTTCAACTACATTCTTATAATTGTCACCATTGTAACTGTCAACTATTCACTTCGCCAAATTCTATGCCCTTTACAGTATTTTCCTTAAAATATTTGGAAATATATTTCAATTGAATGAAAAAAATGACAGAAAAATATCCTAGTAGATATCTTATTTAGTAAGATATTTTCAAGTTGATATGTCTTATGTTTTGAGCACATACGTTTGACATATTATTTGAATCTAAGATCCTTATTCAATATATTAAGAACATATTTTCTAATTCCCCACTTATCATTCTCCTCTTTAACTGTCCATAGCTACTCTATATATTTTAACTGGTAAGTTATCCCTTTTTTTTGTGATTCAGACTGCGAATTAGAATTATATTACGTGCCAAAAAAAAATGAAAAAGTAAAGTATGTCAATACTTGTTCTTTCAACTACATCTGAAATAAATTAAACAAGTTTTATTATAAAATAGTTGCTCGAAATTAACAGGTTAATTCTATTCATGTAGATTTGCTTGAGGCAGCAGGTTCTTTTCTAGCAAGTAAAGAATTTTATGCATATGCAATTTGAATGCGGACATGACATAATAGAATCCTTCCTTAAAGGCATCCCTGATGCGACTCGTGCTGTGACCGAACCACTATATTTAGTTTTAAAAATATCATATCGTGAGTGTTTTATAAGCTGACAACCTTCTACATAGTTTCTTCATATTGCCTTAATCGACAAGAGTTAATGTATGTTAATACATTAAATGTGCAAGTTGAAAATACCCTTTCTTATTAATTATTCTCGATTAAACTATAAAATAATTCAAAAACTAATTATCAATTTATCACCTATATGATCTTAAAATCACATACTTCACATCAATTACAACAACGAATTAAGCATATTATATATGCAACTCCTGAAAATATTTTAATAACAAAATAAAGGAAGTAAAAAATAAAAGTTGTCATTTCGAATCAATGGATCAACCTGAAACCTCATTCAAAGGAGGTTAGGAAGAAAAATTAAAAGAGAAACAACAGAAAAGATAAAATTTGGTCCGGGAAAGAACATGACTATAAGAGAGGTGAGAAATCAATGCGCAAAACAGGCGGGCAATATACAATATCTAAAAGGGGGTTATATACTAAAATTTTCAATCAGCAATCTTCACTCAAAAGAAATAAAAAATTTAAAAGAGCTACACCTCAATATTAGTAAAGAATCGACCTTCATCTTATTAATATAATAAATAAAGAAAAGAAATAAAAACACAGAGGCACTTCAAAAAACACAGTATTTAGAAAGCAGTAGCACACAACTTTATCATTATTGTGAAACACAGTTGCATTCGAAATCTATTTCTTCTTAATTCATTAAACTACCGATGTCAAGAGCACAATCTGTGATCGATTTCACCACCTTTAGAGCCCGTTTGGACATAAAAAAAAGTTCAATTTTTTTAGAAAAGTTTTCACTTTTTTTCGAAATCAGTGTTTGCCATAAAATTTTCAATTTTCACTTCAACATGAATTTTGAAATTTTTTAAGAATTTGAAAAACTCCAAAAAGTTGTTTTTCAAAATTTTCACTTAGATCGCTCACAAAACTTCAAAAACAACCCAAAATTATATTTATGTCCAAACACAACTCTAAGAGCCCATTTGGATATAAGAATTTTTTTTACTTTTTTAGAAATCAATGTTTGGCCATAAAATTTTCAATTTTCACTTGAAAATGAATTTTGAAATTTTTCGAAAATTTGAAAAACTCCAAAAAATTATTTTCCAAAATTTTCAGTCATATCACTCACAAAGATTCAAAAACAATCCAAAATTATATTCTTTCCAAACACAACTAATTTTCAAATATCATTTTCACTTGATTTTTTTTTTTTTTTTACTTTTTTTTGGAATTTTATAATTCTTATGTCCAAACACCCACTAATTTTCAAATACTATTTTCACTTTAAAGAATTTTTCACTTTTTTTTTTTGAATTTTACAATTCTTTATGTCCAAACGCCCACTTAGTCAAACTTCGATCTTATTTTACTTACTTAATAAGAAAAGTTAGTCCAAAATGCTTGAACAAATCCCTTTGCATCAGTCTAAGTATAAAGAGTGGAAAGAACTGAAAAGAAATAAAATTACAAGTAACCATAAAAATATTGGCAGATACCTCATCAATTCACTTATGTCTTCAACTATGGGTAAGAAGATGTTTACCATTAGAATACCACAGTGAAATAATTAGAAAACAAATAGAAGTAAAAATGAAAGACGATTAGACAAAGTAAAGGGGTGAGGAAGTTGGAAGACTTAGCTGTGGAGGATTCTAGATGAAGAATGTCAGAAAGGTTACGTGTTATGAGCAATAAAAATTTAATTTAGGTCAGCTGAAATTACAAATATACCCTTGGTCGACTAACTTCTCTTTTCTATATAATAAAAAATAAATAAATAAAATAATAATAATAATATAGCATAGATATAGATATATTAGATATATATATATATAACAAAAGCCTTCTTCTTAGCTCACAAATCATCTCCTGTGAAAAGTGTCACAATATCACGAGAGCTGAGAGAGAGATCGGATAAAGTGAAATGAAAATGAATTTATTAAATTAATGCAAAATTTGTTATTTCCTGGCTCCTGCTCAAGTCCTCAAATTCAGATGGGTGGAGCGTACGTACAATCCAGCAAGCAGAATTGCACAAACAAATTAAATAATTGACGTTGAAAATCAAATACAAAACAACGACGTAATACTGAACAAAAAACGACGTCCTCCAACCAACCTAACTAGCTCAACGAATTCGAAACGACACCGACTCAATTGGTACAATTAATTAATAGCTTAGGAGCACAGAAATTAGTAAGCTTTTGGACATAAAAGATGTGAGATTTGACCCCAAAATTTTTTTATGGAAGTTAAGTTGAAAAAATTGATACTTGAAAATTGAAATTGTATCTGAATATATATTTCATTTAAAAAAATATTACAGTTTTGTACGAGAAAAATATTGTTTACTTGAAAAAGAGGTAATCACTTTTTCAGATTTGAAACTCATCTTAAAAATTCAGTCAAATGTAAAATTAAACAATATTTTGAAGATAAGTATCGAAAAAAGGAAAAAAATATATGGACAAAATGGCCCTAAATATTATTAGGTATGTGTGAACAAAGCCCCACGTAAAAAGTGAAAAAGAAATATAAGTTACTTATAATGAGTTGGATACTCTTGGTGGTGTGAGGCTTTTTGGGAAAAACCGTGAGAGTTTGGCCCTAAGTGGACAATATCACACTATGTCGAGAGTACGTTTGAGTCGTTTTAACCCGACAACTGATATCAGATGTTCAAGACATGTTCATTTAGGTGAGTTTAGTTTTAGCAGTAACCTATTTGACGTTAATCATAATTTTTGTCCGAAAAATTTAACCAGAGAAAATTATTCACATAAATATGTCACTTAAAAACTAACTCTAGCTACTTAGCAAAATCAGTCAAATTATACTTAACATCTTCATCATTAATGAATAAAACTTAATTTCTTAAATTAATTAATTCATCTAGCATGTATAATTATTTTTTACACTTTAACGAATAAAACTTATTTAAGTAGTTATATCAAATAGAAGTACACGTTTATTCTTAAATAAAACGACAATGGACTTTGTTTAGAAGAATTTATGAAAATTGACTACGAAATTGGTCGATAGTAAAGTACATAGTATTATAGTTTGGTGAGAGAAAAATGTTGAAGTTAAACTCAACTAAAAGCCTAATAAAACAAAGCTCAACAAAAAAATTTATAACTCCCACATGTCATTGAAATTATGTTTATATATGTGTGTTAGGGGGAGGGGGGAGATTGAAAAATATTATTGCAATATAAATTAGTAATTGATTACACGTAAAGTGCACATATTATACAATAATAAAAATAGATAAAATATAGCTTATGAAACTTGGGTTTGAAGAATTTATTTAAAAAATAAAAACTATGGAATTGGTTGGTAGTAGTAAAATACTTCACAATTTCGCATAGTATTTGGTGGACGAAAGTGTTAAGAAGTTGGACCAACCGGACATCAAATTAAAGAAAGTTCGACCCAAACACCAAACAAGCCTCGCTCCCACTGTATCAACCAGATCCAACCCGCCGTTAAATTATCGCCCGGCGGTGATCGTTCTAACGTCGGGAAATGAAACGTGGCAGCAAATTCTCCTTCCACGTCATCGTCGTGATAGCCGCCATTGCATTCATCTACTTCTCAACGGTGTTCGTCTTCATTGATCAGTGGTTTGGGCTTTGGTCCTCCCCCGGTATGCTTAACGCCGTCTTCTTCACCGTTGTAGCTGCTATGTGCATTTCCAATTATGCCCTTGCTATTTACACGGATCCGGGTCACGTTCCCAGCTCATTTGTACCCGACATTGAAGACCCTGAGCACATCGTTCATGAGATCAAGCGCAAGGTTTTTTTCATTTCTTTCAGTTTTATTTTTATTTTCTGTTTAGACTTATTAGCTTTTATTTTCCAGTCCTGCCACTTTCTTAATTCTCATCTCATTCTATATATACTTGTATTAATAACATCAATTTGTATCTCTGTTCAGTGAAAAATGAAACCTTAAGAAATTATTTTGTAGTGTTTGGTTGGATTAGGGAAAAAGAGTAGGATAGTTCTGGTAAGGATCTAAGTTATATATACAGACAGTGTTAATTTATCGGATTATAGTAGGTTATGATTTATTCTAGGTTACCAATCAATACTTATTATATGATGTTACCTGCAATTACATGTTAATGACCTGATTATGCAAATATTTTTACACCATCAAAGTAAAGAACTTAATAAAAAAAGTTAGTATTGGCTATAAGATACTATAGTTTAGTGATGCCCATTCCAAAAAAAACATACTAATACTTATTGTGTAGTGGTATTTTCAATTATTAAAGAAATGTTTAGTGTTGAAGTCATTTTTACTGATTTATGAAATGAAAATGACTACAGGATGATAATTTACATGCCAGACTACTGACTAGTGACTACTAGAGCCTTTTTTGGATTTAGTGACTACTACTTCTTTGAGTCGTAAATCTGATGTGGTACTTCCTTCCTTACCTATATTAAAAATGCACAGGCCTTATCTGCATGGAAGTCTCCTTTCAATAATTGGAAAACTTGGGGAAAAACTAGCATTGTCCAAAAATCTTGCTATAGTGGATAACGTATGATTTCTGTAGCATATGCTAAGTAAAGGAGAGATCTTTGGTGTGCTAGTTTGGGTCTTCGCTGTGCTTGTTGCCAAAATTTAAGGTTGGGGAGATTAATTCCCCATGTATTAAGGAGCTTAGTTATTGAGCCTGGGACGGAAATATAACTGGCAAATACACAGAGTTAGAGGTTACTACGAGAAGCAGCACACACTAGTAGGAAAGATCTTTTTGGATGAAGTCTAAGATAGATTCTGCCTTAATACAGTTTCTTGTTACACCAAAGAACTAGCAAAACTATACTATTTTATCTTCTTGACTGAGTTAATCCTCCTCAAAACATCTCATATTCAGGGGCTACCTAAAAGCAAGTAGGATCTTTCTGGTGAAGTATGAAAACTGAAACAAATATATGTTGTCTGATGTGTAGATTGAAGTCTTAGTTTTACTTACATTCTATATCTACTATAATAGAATATACAGTATCTAAATCAGTTTGTGGATATAGTTTCGCCGAAGGGAATTCCCCTAACGAGGCTAATCTTGATCTATCCAAGTGGTATGTAGTTGATTATTAATTGCAAAGATGTGACGTACACTTTAAACATCCCACAATTGACCGTAGTTTTGTGTTGTTGTCCTTTCTGGTTGATTTTCAAAGTTCTTTATATGCACTGAGACGTGAACAAAATTACAAACAATATCTTCTTTGCTCCAAATATTAGCAAAGAATGAACTTCCGATAATTTCAAGGACTATTCTAGTTCTTCCATTTCGGATTAACCATTGCAAGTTTGTGTTCCATCTCTGTCGATGCTGAATATCTAGCTGGCTGACTGCATTTTAAAACACAGAGCATAGTCTATTAGTCTAAGACCGAACAATGCTCTATGGGTGTGGCCTGTGCATACTTCAAGTAGTGCTTGTGTTTTGGATATGCTAATAACTAATCATATTTTAATCATGATTAGCAAGAAAAGTAGTTGATTGATGCTCTAACAAATGATAGTTTTGTTAATTGTTCCATTTTCAGTGAAATTTTAAGGACCTGATAGTTATTCAACATTTCTAACATCTGGTAATCAATTAATCTTTTACAAGATCCCTACAATAATGTTATCAGAATATTAAACTATTTGCATAACCAAAAATAGTATTGCTAAATTACATATTTTGTTAACTGAGATTGATATTCTGCTTGAAAATTTTGCTTTAAAACAAAAGGTTGGAATGAAGCTCTCATTTGTGGCTCTGAAGTAATATTCTTTACTTGATAATATCAAGTTTGATTTCGAACTTTGTGGATGTAATTTCTCTCTGTGAACTAATCTGCAGGGTGGCGATTTGAGATACTGCCAAAAGTGTTCCCTTCATAAGCCTCCACGTGCTCATCATTGTCGTATATGTAATAGATGTGTACTACGAATGGTATGCGTAGTCTATGTTTCATTTATGTCTTTTCTTGAGATGTACTGGCTATTGAGTTAAAAGTGTTTCATGTTGAATATAAGGATCATCACTGCGTGTGGATGAATAATTGTGTGGGCCACGCGAACTACAAGATCTTCTTCATCTTTGTTATGTATGCTGCTGTTGCTTGCATATATTCCCTGGTAAGTTGGCATTTTGGCGCTCTTTATACGGTATATGATCTTGGGATGCTATGGTTGTCTTTTGTTTCTTACATACATTCTATCTTCTGTTGTTGCTGACATCTATTAATTCATTGCTTGTTATTATGTACATATGGCTGATCAGGCATAAATTGAAGATCTAGACACCTTTGTTTTCTCCCCCAACCTTTAACAAGCTTATTGTCATTTCTTCAGGTTTTGCTTGTTGGTAGCATAACTTTAGAGTCTCCAAAGGATGACGAGGAAAGTGAAGGCTCTTACAGAGTTGTATATGTAATTTCCCATGAATGATTTTTATTTCTTTAGTGATCTTCGTTTCCTCAATTTGATCAAGTTTTATCCCTGTTAATAGATCATTTCGGGGCTTATACTAGTCCCTCTAAGTTTGGCACTGAGCTTTTTTCTGGGTTGGCATTTTTACCTGATTTTGCAAAATAAGACAACAATTGAGGTATGTTAACTACATAGATTAGTCAATTCTTAACAGTGGCCTGTTATATTTACATGTATTAATAAGGTTATTCACACTCTGCAGTACCAAGAAGGCGTGAGAGCTATGTGTGTTGCTGAAAAGGGAGGTTATGTCTATTCACATCCGTATGATCTTGGTGCATATGAGAATTTGATATCAGTAAGAGATCATTCCTCTTTCTTTGTTTCTTTCCGCACGGTTCTTCTCTCTTCTCTCATGATAACCTTCAACTTTCCCTTTTTATCGTTAATATCAATCTTTCTTGTTTTGCTATAGAATATCAGTTGAGGTATACGTACTTTATTGCCTTGATATTTAACTTCTATCAAATTTGTTTTCCTCGGCAATTCAGGTTCTAGGTCCAAATGTCCTTTGCTGGCCATTCCCCTCCACAAGACATATTGGTTCTGGCCTTCGTTTCCGGACAGGATTTGATAACGTACCTGGGGCGGCAGCATCAAAATGAATGTTTCTGAAACATCCTGGGACAGTCGTTGAAGTGTTTAATTGCCAGAGGAGCATGGGGGAGCTGTGCAAGTCTAGCTTTACCTTGTAAAGTAGCTCTACTCTTCGTGTAAAGGAGCTAAGAAGAGCCAGGTTACGGATTGCTGAAAGATACAACACAGAAGCGGTTTTCAAGTTTTGTTTTCTGTTGATTCTGAGAGATCTTCGGTCCCCCATTGGCAGTCATACTGTAGTTGAAGGTAACGAGAGAACTGAAGCAATTGCACATAGGATACTGACATTTGTTCATAGTATGGGTTATAGTGCTCACTTAGTCGTGTACAAGACGAAGCTCTTTCTAAGTTAACTTAGAGCAATCTTATGTAGCTCAATTGTTGTAATACATGCAACTACGGCTAAGGTTAACAATTTTTTGAGCAATATCGTAGGACGGATTTTGTTTTCCTTTCCAGCATAATTAGGAATGGCATTGTGCCACTGATGAATAAAATCATAATTTCATCGGGATATATTTTCATTGAAAATAATTTGTAGTACCAGAGACGAATCAAGGATTTAAATTTAATGGGTTCAGCTTTTAAGATTTTAAGCATTGCACTCATTGTACTGTTAAAATTATGAGTTCAAATTTAATATTTGTTGAAATTTTAGTAGGTTTTTACATACAAAATCATAGTTCGTGTAAAAAATTATAAGTTTAGTTGAACCCGTAGCAAAATGCTACATTCGCCCCGGGGTAATACATGGGATATAAGCTATTTCACCTTTTGCTCGTGGGTTTTCCTCTCTTGTGGAGATTGAAAACAGTAACTATAGAAAGAAATTTTGATTATTGTAGCAAGCACAAGGATTAAAAGGAGAGGAAACTTAGAGAAGTAAGATGGCCTTGTAGTTACACAAGTTTGAATGAGAAAAGGTTAAGACCAATAGCAGCTTGGGAGAAACTTTACTATGATTTAAAAACAAAAAACAAAGTGAATATGCGTAAATAATTCGTTACTTTAACATTTATTAATCACAAACAGGAAATAAGAGTTTCTCTGGGAGCAGCAATTAATTTTCAAAAGCACAAGTCCCCTTTGTGTTCCTTTAATAAGCTCCGTTTGAAGTTTGAACATAGATATTTTATTTTAACTTTTTTTTTTCGAAAAAAAAAATATTATTTGTTCATGGAACTTAATTAGTTTTTGAAGAAAAAAATTTTTGATTATTTTTTTCAAATTTCAAAAATGGCTTGGGCTAGTTTTTGGATGAAAATTCTCTTTCACTTATAAAACTTTAATTTTTTCCAAGTAAAATGCATGTCCAAATATAACTTCAACTTTCAAAAATTATTTTTCAAACAAGATTCTTTTTTTTTTTTAAGTTTCAACCAAATCTATATCCAAACCTAGCTTAGTTTAGAATTTTTGTCTAATAAATTGATTTTTCTATGAAAAGATTTTTATGTTTGGCATCAGAGCCAGCGGAGTCTAGTCCCTTGAAGTCAACGGGCTGACTAAGCTAAACTTGTACTATGAAATACACCCTTGTGGTTAGTCCTTCCACGGATACTGCGTATAGCCCCACGTATAATAGGAGCTAAATTTAGTGCACTAGGCTGCCTTTTAATAGTTCACTTAAAAATTTATACATTATCAGCTCACACTTAATAAGGAATCAACCTAATTTTCAAGATTATATATTTGGCGAAATACATAGTTTACTTATCCAACTTACACTCAAATCCCTGTTACACACCTGTTGACAACGGGTATAACTTTACACACCAAACCTTTCAAATGTGTGTCAGTTACACACTGCTTTTGACCAGCCTCTGGGACGTGTGAAACACGACCAATGCGGCGCATGAAAAGTTATTTTCTGCCTCACCTGACAACTTACAACGGCTAATTACTGGAATTGGGCCCATTTTTCTTAACCCTAACGCCCAATTCTTCATCTCCTTCTTATTAAGAGCAATCATTTTCATCTTCTTCATATTAAAAGGAGGCAAACAATTTCAGAAAAATCCAACCCCCACCTTCCCCTTCCACATCTAATATTTTGAAGCTGGTTATATTTGTTCAATTAAAGTGCAATACATTATTATTCTTCTGTCAATTCTCGTATTAGAGTTCATATTGAATAGAGAATTCGGGTCCATTTTGTCGATGTGGAGATGATGTTGAACTAGTAATTTCATGGAGCACAGACAATCCTGGTCGTCGATTCTACGGCTGTAAAAATTACAAGGTAACCTTAGATTGTTATAATCGTTATTTTAAGATTTTATAAGCTTCATCTCAAATTGTTTATGGATTTGCAGAAAGATAAGAAAACTGGTTGTAAGTATTTCGCATGGTTTGACCCCCCGACTCATGAACACTTGAAGTCGGTGATTTTGGGTCTGCTTAAGAAGAAGAATCAGCTTGAAGGGCATTTGCAGGAATCCAGAAAACAGAGGAACTGGAGGAGATTTTTTTTTTCCTGATTTTAGGATTAATTTTCATTAAGGCCATTGTATTTGGTAGTTCTCAGCACTGCTATATAGTATAATGATATTCCCATGCATTGGGTCTTCATGTATTTAGCTCATTGAAGTTGTTGTCTATGAGGGTCACTCCCTATTTTATTAGAGATGTATTCAAGCTCTTGTGTTATATGCCTATTTAGGTAATTGAAGATTGTTAGTCTTGTCTTGTGTTATGTTCTTATTTAGCTTTGGTAACCAAACATGACTAATGCAAACTTTGTGTAACCAAAGGAAAGCAGTATAAAAAAGACCTAAATATACTTCATTCCACAAAATAGGTGCTCGTTAGTAGACACCAAAACTGATTAGCAACACTTTACAAAATATAGCACTTGGTTGACCATAGCAACACTTTACAAAACATAGCACTTTACTTGGTTGTCCATAGCAACACTTTACAAAACATAACACATTATTATCCATAGCAATATTTAACAAAACATAAAGCTTAAGCAACAACCAAAGTCTTCATTTCTTTTTCTACTTCTTCGTTGGTTGAGATGATGAACTAGCTTGACTAAGATTGTGTTGTGATGCTGCATTTCTTTGAAGTTGTCTTTGGCTTATGGCTTTTTTGCCCATCCACCTCAAGCTGCACTTCTTGGTTGGTAAGAACATTCCTCTGTTGAAGCTGTAGATCTCTTAGTCTTAGTTCTGATGCTAATGACCCTTGGATTTTGTCCTCCACTCTGCCAAAGTAAAGTATACTTAGTTACAACATTACATTTAATAGAAAGAAGATACACTAATTATACCTTTAGTTAGTTCGCTTACAGTAAAAGAAGTGAACTCATTCCTTGCTTGAAACAACCCAAAACCACTGCCTCTACCTCTTCCAACCCTTCTACCTGTTGCAGAAACACCTCTGCCTTTTGCTGATTGTGAACTAGATGCTGTAGTAGTACTAGTTCCTCTTGCTCTTCCTCTTCCTCTACCATTTCCAGCAGTAGCATTTCCAGTAGTGGCATTTCCAGCAGTAGCATTTCTAGCAGCAACAGATTTTTTACTGGGGCATCCCCTCTTGTTGTGTCCACACACACCACAAAGGGAACAAGTCATCTCTATACCTCTCCTTGAAAGCTTCCTAGATTTTGGATGTTCAGTTTCTTCTCTTTTCCTATTTTTTTTTGGTACGCCAGGCATGTTTCTAATAGGGGGAGGTTCAATCGGGGGGTGGCCTGAAGATGGCCATTGTTTCATACATGGCACAGGCTGGATAAAGGTTGAATAAGCCTTCAAGTAAGTGGACTTACGATACCAATGTGCAATGTGGTGAATAGGTTCCATGTCCTTGAAATGCATGCTAGCAATTGATTTTCTTGGAAGTAGGATCAAAGATCAATCTCTTCTTTTTCTTTTTTTCCTCCATTTTCTTTTTATGTTCTTCACCATCTTCACCTTCTACATCTGATGCAAAGATTTCAGCATCTGAAGAACCAAAGTATGGCTCATCAGTCCCAATTAGACCTTCATACCTATTTTACTTACTACCTGTTGTCACACCTCCTTTTTCACCCGCGCCACCCGCAAAATGGGCGCGGAGGGAGTTTTTTCAATTAAAGGACAATCGAAACGGGATTTGTTTATTTATTTCAGAGTCGCCACTTGGGAGATTTAGGGTGTCCCAAGTCACCAATTTAATCCCGAATCGAGGAAAAGAATGACTCTGTATTACAGTCCGCGAACCAGAAATCCGGATAAGGAATTCTGTTAACCCGGGAGAAGGTGTTAGGCATTCCCGAGTTCCGTGGTTCCAGCACGGTCGCTCAACTGTCATGTTCGGCTTAATTATCTAATTTTATATAGTTATGAACCTACGTGCAAATTTTAATTCTTTAATGCTTTTATCATTATTATTATTTTTATCGAGAATTGCAACATCATGAAAATATATCTCGAACCACGTCACATCAATGTACCCGTGGTTATCGACATATTTCGACTCTGTTGAGATTTGGATTTGGGTCACATCAATGTACACCCGTGTTTAAGAAAGTAAATTATTAAAGGCGCGCCTAAAGCGACTAGCGCATTATTATTTTTTGAGAAGGCCGTGAAATCTTGCTAAAAACGGCCCATCCGAAGTCTAATTAATTATTAGCCCTTTATTGTGGGCCCCGCAGCTTGCGTTTTGTTTGGCGAGGCTCGTCTCTTTTATATATTTTTTTTTAAAAGGGCAATCCTAAAGTGACTACATTTCTATTAAGTTTGACTCTAAAATAAACGAGAAAAGTCTTAATTAATTACATGCTTGACAAGTAGTTATTGGATTACAGTAGATGATAATGGTAATTTACACTCGAACTCGTAAAAATGGAGAAATGTTTCATGCCTTTATTCTATAAATGAACTACTAAAGCTGAAATTACAAAAAATGCATACAAGATTATTAAGATATTCAAAACAAACTAACCATTCTCCAAATTGATTTAAACTAACATTCCTAACATTGATTTAAACTATTGGAATTATCGGCTAGGAAATGGATTCGAATATTGGCCTATATGCTGCCTAACGGGATCAAATGCTGCCAATTTAAAATCTGTCTCAAATACAAAAGAAAGCTAGCGATAAAATATGGCAACTAATCCATTGATTTATTTGCTCATTCTACAAATTACATATTTAACTACATGGAATTTGTAATTGACAAATACAAACTATAGTTTGAAAACCAAACAGTTCCAGTTAAATACAAGACTACGTCATACAGTCCAGTTGAGTTATAAAACTAAACTATATAAATACTTGTCACGTGTCTTATTAAACTATAGATACAACACTAATTCATCGAAACACCCTAGCATTTCATTTCAATTTCACATCTCACAACCACATCAATATTGATTCGAAAGTGTACCTGGTATTGAAATAAAAGAAGAGGAGGGTGAGAGATCAGCAGGGCAGTAATAGATACAGCAACAGCAACAACAACCCAGAAACAGATTAGAACCAACATAAATCCAGGTATAAAACCAATGGAACAATTTTAAC